AACAGTCCTGTACTGTAAGTTCGGGCTCTGTGAGACCAGCCCTGTGATACTAGCAACACGCCCTGATTCCAACACCGTGTGTGCTCTGAGATGGGCTCTGCGAGGAGTGTTCGAAAGCCGGAGCGAGAAGCAGGCTCTGCTCACGAAGGGAAGCAGCCGTCGCAGCCACTGAACACGAGCAGCTAACCACGAGCCTCCACTCAACATCCAGAGGCAACGGAAGGCATCCAGAGACGCGAAACACCAACCGGGGCAACACCAGCATCATCTGCCACCATCCAAGGCAATAACCTGCTCGCAAGGACCACCAGGAAAGAAAGAAAACCCATGGTACTCACCGGTCTGGTCCCACTCATCTAATCGCATCAGTGGACACCACTAGACTGACTATTACCAGTACTTGTGCCCTTCATGGAGTCCCAGCTACTGCAAGAGAGTACGGACAAGAGCCAGTCAAAATCACATTTTCACACCATGGGTGAGCCTAAGGTTTCCGAGACCCTCTGACCCAGCTTGGCTAGTCTTAGAAAGGAGAAGGTGGAGTTTGGGAGGGTTAACGGTTTAGGACACCCCTCAGGAAGGAAGGTGGAATAGGACTCTGTGTCAGCAGGTACTCTCCCTCTCTCTCTCTCTTTCCCTCCCTTGTTAGCATAAGTAACAGCCACCCACTGTATCTATTTACCCATTTATCAAGTCTTGGCTGCAAGGCTTAACTGGGGCTGAAGTTAACTTGGAGACAGTTCTCAGTCAGAGATAGGTGGGTTTTAATATTCACTTTCTTGTTTTCTGTAAATATATTAAATTTTGCTTGTTTGTTCAATAAAATCAGAGTATTCTTTGCCTCTGGAGCATCTGCCTCCTCTGTTTTCCACCACACCACGTTCCACTACATAAGCCCAGTGTCAGAACCAGGGAGCTGGCGAACAGTAAACCAGGCAGCACTCCCTACGTAGGCACAGAGACAAAGTCATAGAGATGTACAGCGCGGAAACAGATCCTTTGGTCCAACCCGTCCATGCAGACCAGATATCCTAAATTAATCTACTCCCATTTCCCAGCATTTGGCCCATATCCTTCTAAACCCTTCCCATTCATATACCCATCCAGATGCCTTTTAAATGCTGTAATTACACCAGTTTGCATCGCTTCCTCTGGCAGCTCATTCCATACACACACCACCCTCTATGTGAAAACTTTGCCCCTTAGGTCTCTTTTGTATCTTTCCCCTCTCACCCTAAACCTTTGCGTCTAGTTTTGGACTCTCCTACCCTGGGTAAAAGACATTGATATTGATCCTATCCATGCCCCTCATGACTTTATAAACCTCTATGAAGTCACCCCTCAGCCTCGGATGCTCCAGGGGAAAGTGCCCCAGCCTATTCAGCCTCTCCCTTTGGCTCAAACCCTCCAACCCTGGCAGCATCCTAGGCTCCCACTTTTTTTTATATATTCGTTCACTGGATGAGAGCTTTGTTGGCTAGGCTAGTGTTTATTTCCCATCCCTAATTGCCCAGAGGCAGTTTAATAAAAAGCAGAAGGGTCCAGACCTGAAACGTCAGCTTTCCTGCTCCTCTGATGCTGCTTGGCCTGCTGTGTTCATCCAGCTCTGCACCTTGTTATCTCAATTGCACTTATATAATGCTTTTCACAAAAGGAAGGCTTTCAGCGACAGATTTAAAGTGATTCGCGAAGGAAGCAAGGGTGATATGAGAAAAAAAATCTTTTTCTTTCCCCTTGAGCAAGTAGTTAGGACGTACAATGCACGTGGAGGCTGCTCCATGTCAGGCAGGCAGGAGGCAATTGGATGAATTTTTGTATAAAAATAGCATACAACGGTCTGGGGAGAGAGGAGGAGATTGGGACGAGGTAATGATGCTCGTTTGAAGAGCCAAATGGCCTCTTTCCCCACCATATGGCTTCTGCAATTCTATGAAGTGCTTTTTGAAGTGCAGTCACAGTTGTAACATGGTGGTTAGTATAACCTGTGCAAATAGCAATGTGAGAATGTACAGCAGTGACTGCCCTAATGGAGATCATTATATCTAGGGGTGGATTTCAAGGGGGAACGCAATACATGCACTTCCATCTAATCTAAAAGATGTTCAGCACATCCCCAACCAGAAACCGAACTGTCTTGCAGCAATATTCCGCTCAATGGGGTCACATTTGGGACAATGCTCCCCATCAGGGAGGGGATTGATTGGCTGCTCTGTAGTCTCAACAGTGCCACAAGAGAGTAGTGGCCGAGGCTAGGACTACAAGCAGTGCTAATGCAGATGTGCTCCTGACCTAAGATGAGTTTGAGGGTGCCCCTGCCGACTGGCCCCAGTGAGGGAATGGCAGGGATTAGGGACCGGCATCTGGGAGGAAAGTGGTTGGTGAAGGTAAAGACATGCAGAGAAAGCTCCCAGGTAGTTCTGCTTGTCCTCACAGACTGAAAAATTGTGGCATAGTCAGATTGAGGCCTTTAACAAGTTACTTGGCCAAAGGGTCAGCAGGCTGCAGATACCTGCCTTATTTGATCGACCATAATATTAGAGACACATCAGGAGTTGAGTGTAAACCATGAGCTAACCACCTGCTTTATTTTCTTAACCCTGACCTTTTCCTTTTAATTATGTCAAATATATCAATGGGGTGCTTGACACCATCCAGGACAAAGCAGCCCATTTGAAGGCCCTCAAATATCATTTCCTCCACCATGGCGCTCAGTAGCAGCAGTGTGTACTGTCTACAAGATGCCCTACAGGAATTCACCAAAAATCCTCAGACAGCACCTTCCAAACCCACCACCACTCCCATCTAGAAGGACAAGGGCAGCAGATACAAGGGAACACCACCACCTTCAAGTTCCCCTCCAAGCCACTTGCCATCCTGATTTGGAAATATACAGTTGTTCCTTCACTGTCGCTAGGTCAAAATCCTGGAATTTCCTCCCAATGCACTGTGGGAGGTACATACAGTAAATGGACTGCAGCGGTTCAAGAAGGTACCTCACCACCATCTTTTCAAGGACAACTAGGGACTGACAATAAATGCTGGCCCAGCCAAGGTTGCCCATACCCTGAATTAAAAAAAAATTCTAAGACCAATGGCTTTTTGGGAGGAATGAATACACGATACGTCAACAACAAGAATGTTCATTTGTTTAGAACCTTTACTATAGTAAAATGTCCCAAGGTGCTCTGTGGGAATATAATCTGAGAAAGAAGGACATCGAGTAAAGTAAGGAAGTAGTGCGAAGAATGACTAATGCCTGGTCAAAGTGGTAGACTTGAAGAAGGGAGAAAGAAAGAGAGAGAGCCGAATAAAATGGACAGACAAAGATACTGGGCTGAATCTTCCCATATTTTGGCAAAATGATATTTTCATTGAGTTACATGGAGAATTTCTCTCCATGAGACCCAAGCTCACCTCATTAATAAATCCTCCATGAAATTCAAGGAAGTTAGCTCGATTTGCCACTCGCTGTATCCAGAACAACTTGCCCCTGCTAGGATATTGCGGGATCCCTCGCACCAGTCCCAACTTTTAAAAAAACCCAATCAGGCACTGTTAGTCTTGATCTGCCCTGCATGGATTGTGAAATTTATTTCAGACCCGGTAGATAAGCGGAGATTGGCACCTCACTTTTTGGGCAGGAGGCTGGAGATCCTGGTAGTTGGGGTGTGTGGTGGAGGGCTATTCTCCTGCCCCAGGGCCATCAGACGAGGCCACAATAGCAGACCTTGCCTGCCTGCTCTGATGTTGCCTCCTGGGTCAGCGCAGTCTCAGGTCAATGATGCCCTTTGGACCCCAGTGCCACCATCTGCTAACTTGATCTCTGCTACTAAACACACTTCCCCCCCAACACCCAAAGCTCATGCCCTGCTTCTGCCACTGAAACGTACAACTTCTTCCCTCATTCATTCTCACCCACCTAATCCCTTCACACCACTGAGCCTGTACATGCCCCCTGCACTGCTTACTCACTCCCTCAGCTCACCGTGTCACATTTCCTTTACCACCAGCAGCACGAAGAGATGTACCAGCCATGTTTACCCCACTCAATCTTTTCCTTTTGACTCATACCAGGAGAAAATGGCCCATAATTGTGCCAGGATGAGTGATGGGGTGCCCAATATTTGGCTTGTCACTCGCTTTCAGGAGAAGGTCCTGAGCTTGACCGCCCCTTATGGCAGACCGACCGTAACTGGTATCAGATTCTGCCCTTAACTAACTGTGCCCGGACCCCTTGACTGAAGACTACTCCCCTTTAACTGTGAGACGTGGCCATTTCTTTGAAGCACGTGCAGTGTGTTTGCTGTGTAAGCCGTTGGCACATGGGGCAGGTGTGAGACTGACAGCAACATTTAGTAAGGTGTGAGGCTTTGTGGTTGCTCTAAAAGGCAAGGCAAGACAGATGTCCTGTGAGCCTCTTAGCTAATGATGAGGGGTCAAATCTGAAAAATACATGGCAAGGCAGGAATGCTGTGAGGATCCAGCTAGGTACTAAAAAAGTCAGCATTAAGAGAGTGGGTGAGCAATCTCTGCGATGCAGGCTGGTCCAGTCCATGAGCTGGGTACATGCCCCTACGCACAAACTCTTACAATGACACGCTGCTGCACCCAAAGTGCAGCAATGAAGTGAAGAAGCCTACTGTAAGTGGGTTGGAGAGGGTGTGGAGAGGTTAGATGTGTCATATATTCGCCTCATGGGTGTGTGTTGTATGAAGCCACTGCCCATGAAATGCGCCAAAAGATGTTGGCGCCATGCGTCCAACCTGGAGGAGTAAATGTCAAGCCGGAGTTGCCAGTTTGCTGCTCAGAATTTCATGTTGGAAATTCTCTACTTTGTATCCAACAGGTGGTAGAACAGGAATCTACATATTAATGGGGCAAGGTTAGATAATAATGAGGGTAAGAGTGAGTGATAATCCCTCTTACTAGTCCTCTCATTGTTCACCAGCAAGAATCTCATCTTGACATCTGGAACTTAGTTGGGAAATGTGACCTGTTGCCTTCGCTATTGAGAAAGGCCTCACTCATGATTCTCACCACATCCCACATTATTCAGGCCTTGGCAAGATTCTGCCTTTACAGAGTAATTCTTGAGCCCAGACTTAAGCCGCTGTAGGCACAGTTACAATGGTGAGGCAAAGAAAGAGTGTGTTTTGTAAGATAGCCAGAATTTGTTTGAAAGTGGAGATCTCAGAGAGTTGTAAAGTTGGCGGCAGGTTACAGAGGTGAGCAGTGGGTGCAATCGATGGGAGGTATTTGAACACATGAGAACTTTAATAAAACCGATATTGGTACAGCAGAGCCAATGTAGGTTGATAGGCACAAGGTTGATAGGTTAAACAGGGCTTGGTGTGGGCTCGGATAGGGAAATGTGGATTTTACATTGAATTTGAGAATTCACCGATAAAACCATGGACAAAAACAGAAGTTGCTGGAAAAGCTCAGCAGGTCTGGCAACATCTGTGAAGGGAAATCAGAGTTAACATTTCGGGTCCAGTGACCCTTCCTCAGAATGGGGAAGGATCAATGGACCCGAAACATTAAGTCTGATTTCTCTCTCACAGATGCTGTCTGACCTGCTGAGCTTTTCCAGCAACTTCTGTTTTTGTTGCTGATTTACAGCATCCACAGTTTTCTTTTCATTTTTATTTAATAAAATCATGACTTTGTTTGCCCTCTCTGAGATGAATTAAAAATAATTCTATGACATGGAAGTTCAGGGGAGATCCCTGATGTCCTCAATAATATTTCTCTCTCAACCACAACTGGTAAAACGAATCACCTGGCTAATATCCCATTGCTATTTGTGAGTTTTCTTTTTGTAAGTTGATTGCCATGTTTCCCACCTTATAATGACGGCTGCACTTCAGATGCCACACATTGGTTGGAAAGTACTTTGGATATCAGGAGGCACCGTGTAAATGCAAGTATTCTCTCTATTTTCTTTACTAAACTTAATAGCCCCCCAAAAAGCCCATCCTCACTCTGACATGGCTGAGCTTTGGCCGGTGAGAACATAAGAACGTCCTTTCTACATTCAAATGCTGACAGTAAATGTTGGAATCAGCCAATTTAGCTGTTGCAACAGCGAGGTGTGGTTACCTGTTCCACCTGCAGGCACTGTGCCCAAGATTTCCCTGGAAGGATTCTGTAAAAATAGTTCCAGTTGTGTTTTTGTAAGACATTTGGAAGCCTACAACTTTGCCACTAACGTGCTTCTAACCTGGAAATATTTCTAATGGGCTCAGTATGGTGTCGGGTTATATTCCAGCAAAGGTGGAGGGATGGATTGAATCAATAATTACATAAATAGCACGGGATCTTAAGATAATAGGAACATTGGTCAGATTGGGATGTCTGATCGGCACTGATGGGTTAGACTGAAGGGTCTGACTCCGTTCTGTATGACTCTGTCTTAGTCGTTCAGACCTGGATTTTTTGACGAGTACCTTGTCAAATTAATGAACCCCCTCTTAAAGGAGAGAAAACGAGAGACCTGGAATCTGCCAGGAATTTGACAGTCACCCCAATGCCTGGTTCCTCACAATCCAGTGACTGTGGGACGGGGAGAAGGAGTCCAGCTCCTCTTTCTGAGGGTTAGCAAACCACTTTAGCTAGCGAATGGGATCCACATGACAACATTGCTATTTGTAGCCACGTTGTATTTTTTTCAATGAGGAGGACTGGGTGCAGAAACCATTTGGAGTCTATGAGGGAGTCAGTCCGGGTTGACGATAAAATAAAGACTTGCTCTTCTTCCTACAGGTTTTTGGTGCATTAGTCTGGATCCTTGTGGCTTCTATCAACGTTGCTGATAAATACAGCCAAGGCTGGGTGATATTTGTCTCCCTCCTCCTTTTTGTGTTAACTCTGCTCCTGCTGATCTGTTATTTCTTTGGATGGCCTCGGAATTCCACAGCCTGGTGTTTCTTGGTAAGTGTGCAATGTGTCATCATACTACAGGCCAGAGTAGATTTACTTACATTAAAAAAAATCATCCTTGGAATGTGGGCACCATTTGCAAGGCCGGTATTTATTGACCATCCCGGATTGCCCTTTCTGGATTTTCCAAGGGCAGGAGAGACAGCCGCATTGCTGTGGGTCTGGAGTCACTTGTAGGATAACGGACCTCCTTCCCTGAAGGACGTTATGAAAAAGCTTGGGGTTGGCTGCAATGCTGTGATTGTTATTGATGTTTATTCCGGACCTGAGTTTAATTTTTTTCCTTCATCTGCCCTCATGGGATTTGAACTCTTGCCTCTGTAGTGCAAATCTGGTTCGCGAGTCCCCTAACCTAACAACCGTGCTGCCACCCCCACTTTAGAGAAGCCACAAAAGCAAGTACAAAGATCGAATTTGAAATTATTGGGTCAGTTTGAGGCAGTGCCTACCTAGAAAGAGAAGGGCAGAAAGTACAAGGGAACCCTATCACTTCCCGGTCCAATGCGGTTGGGATTTGAAAATCCATTACCATCCCTTCCGGCCCCTGGGTCACAATCCCAGAACTGCCCACTGCAGGTCTTCATGTTGCAAATTGCAATCCTCATTTGGAGCCTATCGCACCAGAAAAACAAGAAGAAATTAAAGCGAATTCAATCAAATAATGTAATTTAATCCTGTGCCAGGGTCTCTCATCTATATGGGGGGCATTTGAGCTCAGTGGTGGGATCTTCAGACCCTCTGGTGGGGATGTGATCTCTGTGATGGGGATTTGATCCCTCTCGTAGGCGTGTGTTTTCTGTGATGGGAATCTGACCCCTGTTGCGGGGATTGATCCCCCTGGTCGGGGTATGATCTTTATGCTTTCTATCCAGTTACATCTCTGCTACGAAACACAGCTGAAATTCTTTAACTCAATAGGCAATCTTTAGCTCAATAGGCAATCACCTGTGAATCCAGGGACATTACCGCAGCCAACCTCTTACCCCTCTCCAAAGCAGTTACTTGTATTAGAATTCACAAAATGCTCAAGGATTTGAGTGTCTGTTTGCTGTTTGGTGTTTAGAGGCCATAGCAGGGTGGGTGGCTTCAGCACCAAGGATTGGGGGGGTGAGGTGGGATGACTTTCTATGCACACATTTCCCAACACATGGTCCCTCAGTCGGACTCTAGAAGTACTAAAGTGAATACTGTATTGTAAAAAATGCCATCTTGCTGACTTTTTGATGTGGGGCAGTCCACGAGTGACCCTTTGCTTGTTTGCTTGTGGTACCCCCAATGTGGCGGGCACCATTTCACACCCCCCACCACTTGGTGAATTGGCAGCTTTGTAGGAAGGTTACCCATGGACCTAATCAGGATGGAGCTGGGGAAGTGTCCAGGTGCCCGATGACTCTGGTGCCCCTGGATTAAATGTCCTGGCCCCCAGCACCAAAGGTCCATGAATGGGAACTATGCCATCAGCTGGGCTAGTATTTGCAAGTTGTCTCTGCTTTGTAGGACGCAGTCAGTAGGACATATGCCTCTGATCACACGGTCCTGGATTCAATGCAAACTTCAGGAGTTGAGCACAATAATCGAAGCTGAAAATCCAGTGAAACAGGAAGAGAGAGCTGCACTATTGGAGGTGCCATCTTTCAGATAAACTGTTAAACCAAGGCACCATCTTCCTGCATGAGGAACACCACCAAATGCGAGTTCCTTTCTGAGCAATACACCATTCTGACTTTGAAATGGACTCCCTGTCTGGCTGTTCCTCAGTTGAAAAATACTCATCCTTGCGCTCAAATCCCTCCACAGACTTCCTCACCCAGTTTCCTCTGGCCTGTACATCCCTTTGAGATCTCTGTACTCCTCCAATTCTGCCCTTTGTGCATCCCTGGTTTTCATTGTTTCATGGCTGGTGGCTATGCTTTCTCCTGTCCCTCCTCTTCTCCCCCACCCCCACACTTACTGTTTCAGGCACTTTATTAAATGTGGCTTCGGCACCCCAATGCCTCAGATCTATTCTGATAATGTCCTTGTGAACTGCCTTGGGATGTTTTAATATGTTAAATGCAAGTGTAGTTTATTATGAGAAATCTTTTCCATTACAACACATGATCAACTGATTAAGGTGTCTTTTAAAGACACCCACCATCTACAACAATTCTGTGGTGGCAATGCTTTCAAATACAGAAAGGATTTACAGGGATGCTGCTAGGGATGGAGGGTTTTAGCTATAGGGGGAGGCTAAATAGGCTGGGGCTATTTTCCCTGGAGCATCGGAGGCTGAGGGGGGACCTTATAGATGTGTATAAAATTGTGAGGGGCATGGGTAGGGTAAATAGACAAGGTCTTTTCCCTGGGATGAGGGAGTCCAAAACTAGAGGCCATGGGTTTAAGGTGAGAGGGGAAAGATTTAAAAGGGACCTAAGGGGCAACTTTTTCATGCTGCTTGTATGGAATGAGCTGCCAGAGGAAGTGGTGGAGGCTGGTACAATTACAACATTTAAAAGACATCTGGATGGGTACATGAATACAAAGGGTTTAGAGAGATATAGGCCAGATTGGACTAGATTAATTTAGGATATCAGGTTGTCATGGACAAGTTGGACCAAAGGGTCAGTTTCTATGCTGTACAACTCTATGACTCTATGTTGATTTTGGAGCAAACACTTGGCTTTTAGAACATGGAACGTATAAAACATAGAACAGTACAGTACAGGCTCTTTGGCCCACAATTTTGTGCGACCTATTATCCTACTAAGATCAAACTACTCTTCATTTTACTATCCTCCATTTGCCTATCCAAGAGTCGCTTAAATGTCCCTAAAGTAGCTGACTCCACTACCACTGCCGGCAGCGCATTCCACACGCCCACCACTCTCTGTGTGAAGAACCTACCTCTGACATTTCCCCTATACCTTCCTCCAATCACCTTAAAATTATGCCCCCTCATAATAGTCATTTTCGCCCTTGGAAAAAGTCTCTGGTTATCCACTCTATCTGTGCCTCTCATCATCTTGTACACCTCTATCAAGTCACCTCTCATTTGTTTTCGCTCCAATGAGAAAAGCCCTTGCTCCCTCAACCTTTCCTCATAAGACCTGCCCTCCAGTCTAGGCAGCATCCTAGTAAATCTCCTCTGCACCCTCTCTAAAGCTTCCACATCCTTCCTATAATGAGGTGACCAGAACTGAACACAATATTCCAAGTGTGGTCTAACCAGGGTTTTGTAGAGCTGCAGCACAACCTTGCGGCTCTTAAACTCAATTGCCCGGCCAATGAAAGCCAACACACCATACGCCTTCTTAACAACCCTATGAACTTGGGTAGCAACTTTGGGGGATCTATGGACGTGGACCCCAAGATCCCTCTGTTCCTCCACACTGCCAAGAATCCTGCCATTAACCCTGTATTCTGCATTCAAATTCGATCATGCAAAATGAATCACTTCACACTTTTCCAGGTTGAATTCCATCTGCTACTTCTTTGCCCAGCTCTGCATTCTGTCAATGTCCCATTTCAACTTACAACAGCCTTCCACAGTGTCCACAACTCCACCAACATTCGTGTCAATGGCGAACTTACTAACCCACCCTTCCACTTCCTCATCCAAGTCATTTATAAAGATCACAAAGAGCAGAGGTACCAGAACCGATCCCTGCAGAACACCACTGATCACCGAGCTCCAGGCTGAATACTTTCCATCTACTACCACCCTCTGTCTTCTATTGGACAGCCAGTTTTGTATCCAGACAGCCAAATTTCCCTGAATCCCGTGCCTCCTTACTTTCTGAATGAGCCTACCCTGAGGAACCTTGTCAAATGCCTTGCTAAAATCCATATACAACACATCCACTGCTCTGCCTTCATTAATGCGTTTTGTCACATCCTCAAAGAATTCAATAAGGCTTGTGAGGCATGACCTGCCCCTCACAAAGCCAGGCTGACTATTTCTAATCAAACTGTGCTTTTCCAAATAATCATAAATACTATCCCTCAGAATCCTCTCTAATAATTTGCCCACCACAGAAGTAAGACTGACCGGTCTGTAATTCCCAGGATTATCCCTATTCCCTTTCTTGAATAAGGGAATGACATTTGCCACCCTCCAATCATCTGGTACTATTCCAGTGGACAGTGAGGATGCAAAGATCATTGCCAAAGGGGCAGCAATCTCTTCCCTCGCTTCCCGTAGTAATCTTGGGTATATCCCGCCTGGCCCAGGGGACTTATCTATCCTCATGTTTTTCAAAATTTCTAGCACATCCTCCTTCCTCACATCAACCTGAGACATCAGCCTGAAACTACCACAACAGGTCTCAGGCGCTAGAAGAGGTTAGGTTTAGATGAACATTTGAACTTTTAATAAATGCTGTTTTTTCTTGGTTTGCTTCAACAGGATGCTTCATATCATGGTATTGCAGCTCTCTTTTATTTCAGTGCTGCAGTTCTGCAGGCTAATTCGACAGTACGTCACCAAAGTTTGAATGACAAGGTGTACAAAACTGATACTGCAGCAACGGTAAGCACAATCTCTGTTCAAATGGTGCCGTCCTGTCATTCCTGTCTCTTTCTCCCTCGCTCAAGTCCCAAATCGAAATGAGATATAGGTTAACATGTTTTATTTTATATTTTCTGAGGTGGAGAGAGACAGAGAGAGAGACAGAGAAAGAGAGAGACAACCAGTCCCTGTACCACAGACCTTAAGTACTTTTCTCCACAGTTAGAAATGTACATTTTTTGTAATTCATTAGTGGAAATGGGCATTGCTGGCTTGCCAGCATTTCTTGCCCGTCCCTAGTTGCCCTTGAGAAGGTGGTGGTGAGCTGCCTTCTTGAAATACTGCTGCAGTCCTCCTGCTGTGGGTTGACCCACAATGCCGTTAGGGATGGAATTCCAAGATTTTGACCCAGCAACAGTGAAGGAATAGTGATATATTTCCAAGTCAGAATGGTGAGTGGCTTATGGTTTCGGTGTGGAGGGCCGTCCCTTCTGACAGGGACTGGGTATTAGGGGGGAGGGCAGGGCATGGTGACAGGGAGCGGGGTGGGGGGTGGGACGTTGGTGTGGAGGGCAAGGTCTGAGTGTAATTCTGTGTAGAGAACCCATGCCACTAGTGAGATGGGGAGGCAATGGCCTAGAGGTATTGTCACTGGTCTGTTGATCCAGTGATCCAGATAATGTTCTGGGGACCCAGGTTCGAATCCTGCCATGGCAGATGGTGTTATTTGAATTCAATAAATATCTGGAATTAAAAGTCTAATGATGACCCTGAATCCAGTGTCAATTGTCAGGAAAAAAACCCCATCTGATTCACTAATGTTCTTTAGGGAAGGAAACTGCCATCCTTACCCGGTCTGGCCTATATGTGACTCCAGACCCACAGCAATGTGGTTGACTTTAACTGCCCTCTGGGCAACTGGGATGGACAATAAATGCTGCCTAGCCAGGGACACCCTCATCCTGTGAATGAATAAAGAAAAAAAGAAATCCTCCAGCAGGCAGAGGGTGCCTGAACTTGAGCATCTCCCAGGCCCACAGATAGTCCACCTGGATATTCTTGGCGACTTACCCATGTGCTGTGAGCACGTGCTACTCCAAGGAGAATCTAGGGGTTATCATTGAACAGAAACTCAACTGGATTCACCTTATAAATACTGCATTGACAAAAGCAGATTAGAATGCTGCAATGAACAACTCATCTCCTGTCCGCCATCTACAAGGCACAAGTCAGGAGTGTGATGGAATACTCACCACTTGCCTGGATGGGTGCAGCCCCAACAACACTCAAGAAGCTTGACACTACCCAGGACAAAACAGGCGGCTTGATCGGCGCTGCATCCGCAAATATCCAGTTCCTCCACGACCTACACTTGGTAGGAGCAGTGTGTACCAGCTACAAGATGCACTGCAAGAATTCAACAAGGCTCCTTAGCCAGCACCTTCCAAACCTTTGACCAAAGCTGGAAGGACAGAGATACATGGGAACACCACCACCTGCAAGTTCCCCTCCAAGCCACTCGCCATCTTGACTTGGAAATATATTGCAGTTCTTTCAGTGCCATTAGGTCAAAATCCTGGAATTCCCTTCCCTAATGGCACTGCGTACATACACTGAATGGATGGCAGCAGTTCAAGAAGATAGCTCACCACCTCCTCCTCAAGGGCAACAGGGGATAGGCGATAAATTCTGGATTTGCCAGCATTGCCCAAGTCCCGTGAGTGAATGGGAATAAAAATGATCTGGGTTAAGAAGGCTATGCTCACCTTGTGTGCCTCTGAGAATCGAGTGGAGGTGTCATACTTTTCACATTCTGCCTTCCCCCCCTCACCACTGCCCCCCAACCCCCACCATTTAACTGCCATGCCCCCAGCAGTTCCTGATTATGTTTGATGGTGAGGTAAACTCCAGCATTTCCCACCGAGCTGGGGAGTGGGCAGGATACAAGGCAGAGGTCAGCAGCACAGGTAGGCATACACTCGCTGCTTGTTCTCTGCCATGGTGTAGCTGTTGATTAACTTATAAGATGATCACATGAGGACATTTAACAGGCATACGCACCAAGAGAAAATAACTGGTGGAGCTTTAAACGCTGCTGTACACACATCATAAAAATAGCTACAATTTAAAGATTAATCCCACATAAAGAGAACTTGTATTTATGATGCATCTGATTAACACCCTCAGAAATGTCCCAGGAGTGTGGCAAATCAATAGCAGGAAACCTGGAGCAGAGGAGGAGATCTGAATGTGATAGGACAAGTGGAAGTGGCACTGCCAGTACTGAGCAGGAGGTAGAAGGTAAAATTTTTACCCAAACATGTCAGGTAGCACAGTTCTAGTCCAGTTTGAATTCTAAATACAGTGCCAGAATAAACAAACACAAATACAGCCCGATTTGACACCAAGTGAATGATTTTGAAAGACGCTTACTGTTATTATATACATAAAATGTTAAATCTATTTTCTCACACAGCCTGATCCAATAAACAGCAATGAGATTATCATTGAACCTATTTTTTGATAGTCTTGCTCACGGAAGGATCCATAGAGTTATACAGCACAGAAACAGACCCTTCGGTCCAACCTGTCCATGCCGACCAGATATCCTAAACTGATTGAGTCCCATTTGCCAGCATTTTGCCCATATCCCTCTACACCCTTCCTATTCAAATAGGAAGCTATATTCATGTAGCCATTCAGATGCCTTTTAAATGTCGTAATTGTACCTGTGATATTTTTGCAAGAGGGCTGTAGAAAGAGGGGCGATGTTTAGCCAATACTAACCTGCATTATAGTTTGAGGATGGAGAGGCGGTTGTTTGAGGATGCAGCTTAGGGGAGGTCCCATAGAGGGAAACTCCCTGAACCAAATCCTGTCACAAAACAGTTGGTGATGGGAAGATAGAGCTCTGCACTCAGATACCGAGTGCACAAAGTTACTGGCACTTTGCAGCTCATTTCAGCTTGCTGAAGATAAATGATAGAAAATGAAAAAAAATCAATATATGTAGGTTGCATGTGAGGAAACAGGCTCCTATGTCCAAGAATTTGTGTCTGACACATTGAATTAGAGACTGCAAGCAGCTACTTCTGAACCTCTATATCTCCAATTGGTGGAACTGATATTTGATCCCAGTTAATACATATCTATCTTGTAATTAGGGATAACACTGGCAGTGCATTCATACTTTCCACACTGAGACATTCTATTCATCGTTCGATATGTAAGAGGATCCTAGAACAGCCTATCAGTTACTGAGGGTCCAGTAGTGTGTTGATCAATAAGAGGCTGTATTTCTTGAGAAATGGAAGGTGGTGGGGTCTCTCTGGGTCAAAGTGGTATTTGCTAATGACAGTTCAGAGCACTGCGAATTCTCTGAGGGAGACTTGGTAATCGGGTGCCAATTTAAGACTGAGATGAGGAGGAATTTCTTCTCTCCGAGAGTTGTGACTCTTTAGAATTCCTTGCCACAGAGAGCTGTGGGGGCACAGTCCCTGTGTATATTTAAGGCTGAGATAGATAGATTCTTGATCAGTTGTGGAACCAAAAGTTATGGGGAAAATGCAAGAAAATGGACATGAAGAGTGTTAGATCAGCCATGATCCTATTGAATGTTGGTGCAGCCTTGAGGGGACGAATGGCTTACTCCTGTTCCTATTTCTTATGGCCTTGGTGGTCTTACTATCAAATACTTGAACTAGGTAGCTGTGGCATACTCCAGGACACTGCTACTGATTGACCAGCCTTCCTAGCTCACTGATGACAACTGGATGCATAGACCTGTCACTGGGGATTTTTTTTTCTCTTTATTCATTCATGGGATGAGGGTGTCCCTGGCTAGGCCAGCATTTATTGCCCATCCCTAATTGCCCAGAGGGCAGTTAAGAGTCAACCACATTGCTGTGGGTCTGAAGTCACATGTAGGCCAGACCAGGTAAGGATGGCAGTTTCCTTCCCTATATTTTTGATAAGGTAGCTGACTATCTGACATGTACAGATTACCATCAGCATGTTTCATCGTCAAACCAAAGAACTAAGAAAACTGCGAAGGTGGAGTTTGCGGGTGGTCAGCATATGGTACAAATTCTCTCCCCCAAAGTCACCAACAAACATCCCACTGCCAATCCAGCAAACCCATGCCAGGAAAAATGGATTCAAGGAGGAGAAATACCACTCCAAACGCACAGCGTGTTGGTTGACTCATAACTGCCCTCTGAAATGGCCGAGCCAGCCTCTCAGTTCAAGGGCATTTGGGGATGGACAACAAAGTCTGGCCTAGCCAGCACCACCTGTATCACATGAAACCATAAACAGCGACTAATCGCTTCTTGGATTGTGCACAGTAAGTTGGAAGGTGTAATCTTTCATAATGACATCTGGCAGAGCCACATCAACACAGGTTCATCTTAACACCATCAGATGCCATTGAATGCAGCTTGGTTATAGATTATGGGAAGAGTGTTTTTTTTGGCATTTCCAAAATAAATAACCCTCGGTAGAGGGACAGATTATCAGAGTTGGAATAAACAAGCATGAAATGGCTTTTGATTATCTTTCTAAGATGTCACTTGATCAGTCATTGATTGCTTTGATGAATACCTTGAAACCAGTCAGGCGTAAATAGGATGCAAACTTCTAAGTGTGAGATGAAATTTTTTTTATTCACTTGTGGGATGTGGGCATCACTAGCTGGCCAGCAATTTTCATTGCCCATCCCTAGCTGCCCTTGAGACCATGAGACCATAAGATGAAGGTGGTGGTGAGCTACTGTATTGAACCACTGCAGTAGGTTGATGCACAATGCCCTTAGGGAGGGAATTCCTCATTCAATATCAGTATGTGGGCAATCGAAGCTCCTTCATAGAATCATAGAAACCTTGGCCATTGTACCTATGCTGGCCCTTTGAAAGAGCAGTCTCAAAGAGTGCCAAAACTCTGCTCTGGTGGTAACCTTGTAAACTCCTCAATCTCAGATATCTGCCCAATTCTACTTTAAAATTACTTATAGAATATATAGCCACCATTTTTTCAAGGTAGAGCATTCCAGACTATTTCCAACCATCCTCTGAATGAAAGAACTTCCCCTCATCTCCCCTTTTAGGGCAGCACAGTGGCTCAGTGGTTAGCACTGCTGCCTCACAGCACCAGGGACCCGGGTTTGATTCCAAGCTCAGGCGACTGTCTGTGTGGAGTTTGCACATTCTCCCCGTGTCTGCGTGGGTTTCCTCTTGGTTGTCTGATTTCCTCCCACAGTCCATAGATGTGCAGGTTAGGTGGATTGGCCATGCTAAATTGTCCATAGTGTCCTTGGGTGTGCAGACTAGGAGGGTTAGCCATGGGAATTGCAGGGTTACAGGGGTTGGGTGGGTGGGATGCTGTTCAGAGGATTGCTGTGGACTTGATGGGCTGAATGACCTGCTTCTACACTGTAGGTATTCTGTGAGGTATATTCACAATAATTTTGAATCTCCAGTTACTAACGCACATGCTGGCAGGAATATTTCTTTTCCCACTTATGCTCACAAAATCTCTTATCATTTGAAATCAATTAAGTCACCCTCTATGTTTGAAACAGAACAGTTCTAATTTTCCCAACATTTCTACCCTTTCCTCATATGCCTAGTAATATCTTGGTGAATTGTCTCTATATTCTTTCTAGCACTTCCATATCTTTCCAGACATCTAGCGTCCAGAATTGCCCACAATATTCCAGACGAGGTCTAATTACATTTCTGGTATGATCTCTTCACTTTTATATTCTCAGCATTGATCTATAAACCCAAGTGAATGACACATCTTGTTAACCTGATATCAAAGATTTACGCATATGGGATGGTTGGTTGGCTCAGTGTACTAGATGACTGAGCTGTGCAGCAGAATAAAGTTAGAAGTGTGAGTTCATTCCCATATTGACTGTAGTAGTTCTTGGGAGTATGCTTTCTGTCTTTATCCCCCATACTTCTGGAGTGATTATCCAAACTTGTACATAATCATTGTCTCTCTGTTTCTAATGAAGAGAGATGCCAAAGGTTCTCTGTGGACAATGCCTCCATATGCATGTATATATGGACACCATAATCTCCTTGTTCACTTGCACTTGTCAAAATCTTGCCTTTTATAATGTTTTACCACAAAGAGTGACACTTCACAGGTCTCCATATTGAGCTCTATCTGCCATGCCTCTGACCATTTTGTCACCTACTACTTCACCAACTTTTGTACAATCTGAAAACTTTATAATACAATTCCCAACACCTCTTATGAAATTGCAAAGAACATTGGTTCTGAAACTGGACCAAATGTTTCCCATTTTGCCCACCTCTGTCCTGCTTGTCACATTTGTTCTCTGTGCTTCTTTCTCCCCACAACACTGAATGAAATGATTGAACCAACACCTAAAGAAGCAATGTTTGAAAAGGCAAAAGAAAAGAATAGAAGAACATGGGCCAAGGATTGGGAAGGGGGTTTTCAAGTAAACAGAATCAACTGAAGAGATGGCACCAGCACAAGTGAAAAGTGGGCTTTCTCACAGTCATTTCTGTGATTCTATTAAATCAATGCAATGTGGAATTCCAATCTTTATTCTCTCTGAGTAACGCATAGGAAAAAATGTAATTAAAGTCTACATGTTAAACCATTGTTGCTTTGTAAACATGAATTATGATTATGTTAGAAGATATGTAATGATAACTATTTCCTTTCACTTTGCAGATATTTGCATTTGCAGCCACTGTGCTCTATGTTGTTCATGCCGTGTTCTCATTCAAAAGGTGGAAATCAGTGTAAGTGTCTCCGAGCTGGATGGAAAGTGAACGTTGAACTTGTGGAAGACATCTCTCAGAAAGTCGATTTGTCTCCACTCAACGTATATCACAGTCATGCAATTGTGTATTGAAAATGGGGTGGTAATTCTGTTCTGCTGAAGTGTAATCTTATTTTAATCTTCCTGTATTTTTCCATTATTTCTGTTCCCCGCATCCCAGCCACTTTTCCCCGACCCATACTGCCCATTGTGACAGATTGTTCAACTGTCGAGGGGTTTTGAGGTAATTACGGATGGGAAAAGGAGTTCAGTCCCAAATCCATCTCAACTCAGATCAACAGAAGAGCATACTTTCAATATATGTTCAAGTGGGGTTCGAGGGTTTGAGCTAAAGGGAGAGACTGAGAGTGCAGTGGGGGTAGTTGGGGCTATTTTCCCTGGAGTGACGGAGGCTGAATGGTGACCTTATAGAGGTTTATGAAATCATGAGGGGCATGGATGGAGGTGAATAGCCAAGGTCTTTATCCCAGGGTAAGGGAGTCCAAACCTAGAGGGCTTGGGTTTAAGGTGAGAGGGGAAAGATTTAAAAGGGGCAGAAGGGGAAACTTTCACATAGAGGGTGTGCATGTATGGAATGAGCTACCAGAGGAAGTGATGGGGACTGGTACAATTATAACATTTAAAAGGCATCCAGATTGGTATACAAATAGAAAGGGTTTAGAGGTATATGGGCCAAATGCTGGCAAATGGGACTAGATTAATTTAGGATATCTGGTTGGTGTGGACAAGTTGGACCAGGAGTTTGTATAACTCTATGCCTCTATGATCTATGACCAAGGCAATTGACATGGCTTGCCTGAATCCCTCTACCACATGAGAGTGTGATATAAAACCTGGCACATCTCTCACTGGACACAGGGACTGGTCATACATGGGTACAGTCACCCAGCCCTCCCTTAATTGCCCTGCCTTCCAAAATTCGGAAGCACAATTCGAGACAACGGGAACATTCAAAAATTCTCCTGTCAAACCCTGACAGGTTGTGCACTGCCTAAGATTTTCTTTCATCCACATTCAGTGAGCAATTAATCTATTCTGTCTGTCAGTCCCAAACTTTGACCAACTTGGCAAACCTGAAGCGAAACACTGAGGATGCTGGAACTCTGAAGTCAAAACAGAAAATGCTGGAGATGCTAAGCATGTCTGGCAGCACCCATTTCATGAACTGCTCTGTTAACTGCATTTCTCACTCTATAGATGCTGCCAGACCTGCTGAATATTTCCAGCATTTTCTGGTTTTATTGTCAAATTGTGAAATGTAATTGTGTGGAAGTGGCGTGAAATGTAACCGCTCACATTCTGTCCTCAACTGAGAATGTAAACTACACTGAATACAGTAAAATGTGAAAAACAGAATTGTGAAGGCATTACTGTAAGGTCTGAAACACTTCAAGAAGGCCAGGCAACTAGGGACAGACAATAAATACAACATTGAAGGGACTGCCTAAGAATAAATAGGAATGTGGAGACTGGCGTGATGTGACTGGAGAATTGAACACTGCAGAACCTAACTGGTGCACTTCACTGTCAGCAGGTGATTGGTCATGTTTTAGGAGAATCAGATTACTATCTGAGGATTAAAGATGTAAAAGAATATGACAAACGAGATCTAAAATGGTTGCTCTTCACCTCATTGCAGCATCAGGCCAACAATGGCATCAAGTCGCAGTGAACTGAAATGATAAACCAGCTTAAAACAAGATTGTTGTGGCTTTTAGCCCAGCCTCAGGACATAACGTTTTTTAAAACTTCCTTTTTTTTTGGTTTTCACCCTGATGAAAGCCATTGGCCGTTGTATTCATACTGGCTCTCTGCAAAAGAAAATCTGCTAATTCCACTCTGCCGCCCTTACCCTGCAGAACTACAAGTCTTTTCTCATCAAGTGTCAATTCACTGCCACTTATCTCCTATTTTTTTAACCTATCCAGTATCTCAGTAGCTACTCATTTACTATAAATCAGGCAGCATCTTCTTCCTTACGAGGTAATCCATTTAGGGAGGGCAAACAGATGCAAGGGAATACAAAATAAATAGATACAAAGGAGTGTAGAGGATCAGGGAGGTATTGGAGTGCATGTCCACAGATCTCTGAAGTTAACAGGTGATTAAAAAGACATTTGGGCTACTTTCCTTATGTCCTACAATTTAAGATCAAGGAGCTAGTTCTGTGGCAGACCCTAGTCAGACCTCTGGAATACTGTGTACAGGAAGAAAGTGATTCCAATAGATAGTATGCAGAGGTTTTGTTTTTCTTTTAAACAGGACTTGCTACAACAGACAGCCTTCAAGAATCAACCACATCACAGAAGTGTTATGCTGTAGATGAGGCCATTTAGCCCATTATGTCTCCATCAGCTCTCCTGCCTTTTCCCTGTACTCCTGCACATTGTTTCTGGTTAAATAATCATCTAATGCCCCCTTGAATCCCTCAAATGAACTTGCAGTTGCTTTTGGCGTGGAGTCACATGTTGGCCAGACCTGGTAAAGGTGACAGATTTTCTTCCCTAATAAACCAGACGATTTTTTAAAGACCATCGACTGCAGTTGCTGTTTGACTAATTTTTTTTATTCCAGACTTCCATCTAATTAAAATTTCACCACATGCCACAGTGGGATTCAAACTCATGCCCCCAGAACATTAGCCTAGGGTTCCTAGATTTCTAGACCAATGACATTATCAGTATGCCACCCCTTCCCTCTATTGCATGATACCACCATCTACCCCATTGGGAGTCATAGAATCGGAGTTTTTACAGCACAAAGGCCCTTCAACCCATTGCATCCATGCCAGCAATGAAATGTCTATCTATTCAAACTCCATTTTCAAGCACCTGACCCATAGCTTTGCATGCTATGACATTTCAAATTCACCAAGTTCGTATCTCTCTTCTAAGTTCTGATATTTGGCAACCTATTACTGCAATGCTTTTTGTATCGTCTATCGTGAAGACAAAAGCAAAATTTTTTGTTATTTCATCCACTATTTTTGTATTATCTGTTAACAATCTCACTCTCTGTAATAGTACTGTACCACAAACAGTAATGCGTTATCAGAAGGCATAATATTACCTGTTCCACATAGGATTGCACAACTCAGCAACAATCTCAGCTTTCTGTCCCAATTTCATATTCACTTTGTTCCTGTCCCTTAATCTCCAGGTTTCAATTTCAACAACAAGTCTATTATACAGTATTTAATTCATTGCAATAGTGTGTCAGAGCCCCAAACGCTCTGAGTGATTTTAATCCTTATTCCAAAATGTCCTTTAGTAAAAAGACACAAAATAATTGCAGGTGTGAATTCAGTGGCTGACTGGCAAAACATTTGTGTGGGATCAATGGAATATAACACCTAAAGGTGCCAAAGAAACTTCAAACAGATTGGGCTGATCTCAGTCGACTACAAAGATAAAAAAGGACTGATGACCCGATAACAAGACACCCTCTGTGGTTTATGCCTGAAACTACAGACACATTTTATATTTTTCTCTTTGAAGAACACATAAGGACATGGATTGAAAAGCCACTGTCATCTCTATTGGAATGACTTAATGGGACTTGACATTTTCATATGTACCAGCCTGTGAGTGAGCACTAGCATGCTGTGAAGATCACAGTCAAAGAAATATCTTCAAGCCACCCCTGCATTGCAGGTACAGACGCTCTTTCTTCCTCTGAGTGGTAGAAGTCAGCTAGCAAACAGCCAGACAAAAGAGAAGCAGGATAACATATTGACTCTCATCCTGAGTGTTGGAATTTATTCATGTCGAAACGAATCAAAACTACCAAATGGCATTGAATGTGAAAAACTAAGGATCATGAAACTAACTGTGCAGATTCCAATGTGACTGCTCCCAGTAACCTCCAGTGAATAGCCACAACATTCAAATAGCTACTCTTCATGAACAGTTCAAAGATTAAACTGCATATCTTATTGTTACCTTTGGTATTTTTGGACTCACGCCTTATTTCTAATCTGTGTGTATATGAGTTGTGTTAGTATTTCTTAGAGTCATAGAATTAGAATTTTATTAGAATTCAGTTTATTGTTACATGTACTCAAATACGGAAGTACAGGAATTCAGTGAAAAGTTCACAATATCACCCTTCTTGGCACCATCTTAGGTACAAAGTACCTTGGTACAAACCTTGGAAGTTGGAAAATAATAAATAAAGTTTAAAGGGTAAACATTACAACTGATAAACAGATTACAGATAAACATTACACTACAGTAGATCAGCGCAGAAGGATTACACACATGGTCTGACCAGCCTCGCAAGCCGCTGACTGCTCGCACCAGTGTCCAGTCCAACAACTGATCCTGCTCTACTCTGTGTCTCCAGCCCACTCTGTATCTCCAGCCGCTCCATGACTCCCGCCCACTCCACTCCACTTTGTGTCTCCTGCTGGCTCCGCTCCACTCCATGTCTCCCGCCCGTCCCGCTCCACTCCGTGCC